TCAAGGGAGAAAATAATTGCCTTCCAGCTACAGTTAATGCAGGGGAAAAATGCTCGTTTGTAGTGTTTGCTTCTCTGAAGCATTCAGCAAAGTACTGTATATTCTCCTAGACCAGGAGTCTGCTTTGTCATAAACAATGTTTTTTAAAATTGGTTTGTTAAAGTGCCATGACAGTCCTCTATGTTTAGTCTGTATAGACCTGACAGCTGCTTTTCTGTTTTTATTCTTGGTGCTGTTAGCTAGCTAGTGTGTTTCAGACTGACTTTCAAATAAAAAAAAAATCAGGAATGCAATAACAGATTTCACTCCTATATGTAAAGATATTAAGAGAAAAAAACAACTCTGCTTTGTAATAACTGTAGTTCTGTTTTCTTCATTCTCTGCTTGAAATAATGCAAACCGTTTGACCTAGGAACTCAAGTTTCTTAATCAGTCTTTTGTCTTACTTCAGAAATGTCTGTGGACTGAAGCAACTACCTTTTGTATAGATATCCATAGTCTCACTAGAGTTTTTGGCTAGCAGCTGTGGTATTATCTTAAAGATTGTGTCTGTGTTAGGGTGAAACCCCTAAGCTTGGTAGCCTAATGAATCCCCACGTAAATGTATTTTGGAGCTATTAATGAGAGGGCTTGGAAGAGTTTTCATCAGGATTGTGTGTTGACCAAGAGTGTATATTCTGGTTTAAGCGTGATTGCTGTGATTCTCAAAAGATTAAGACTTCTATTGTACTGGTAGGTGTGTAAACATAAGAAGGTGAGTTTTAAGACTAGGTTATGTGCGGAGAGGCAATAGGGAGGATACCTGTGAAGTAACTACTCGACTGGGTGGGGGGAGACACTAGCTAACATGGTTCAAGCTAAGCAGCAATGAAGCTTGGTGTTGCAGACCATGTAGACTGTTAACTAAGCTCTTACAGCTCTTGCAAGAGCTGCTTATATTCGTATATGGATTAGTTACATGTGTTTTCCTGTACATGGAGTTAGAACACCATGCTGATAGATGTGGGGGGACTGGAAGTAAAACTCTCCTTAGTTTCATATAACTGAGTATGTTAATTATAAATCTTATAGTGGTCAAAGTATTCTGCAACTCATTGCCTGTGTGCAAGCAAACATCTTGCTGTAACTATTGAACCATTTATTTTCGCTTGTGAATTTAAAACAGTGTTGATCTTTCTGCACAGCGTAGAAGTAGTGTACATCCATATGAATGGACTCTTTAAACTTTTTTCAAGGTCAGGATCTGGTCAACTGTTTCAGGTGATTTAGTAATTGCTTCTTTTGAATACAATCTAACTGACTAGAATCCCCTATTGCTACCCTGAAACCAGGCTTCATTCATTGCTCTCTAGTTAGTAAACTCAAGCAGAGGCAATGTCTGAAGCATTTATGTCGTGCCCCATGAAGTGCTTCAGGCTTGGCAGATGAGCAGTGCGTATAAATACAGATATCCATAGAATCTAAGTATATGCGTCACTTCCTAAGAAATCCCTAATCTTACTAAAGAATTGGAGGTTCGGGTCTTACACGATGTTAAACCTTAGTGTTTCTACTTTATAAAACTGAGGAGCAAAGCTGCATTGTTGCTGCTATTCTTCGTGCGCTCCAGGAAAGGGAAGTCGGTGACACTCCTGCTGATGAACTGCTTCAACTGAAGAACATCTTTCAGCCAGCTTTAATGCCAGGTGTGGCTACCCTAGAATCATCTGAGATATTAAAGATGCATAAGGCTCATGGTTTTACCTCTGATGGGCTAAGATCTTGAAAACAGGCTTCTATCCTTTCTCCCTCATCCCCCAAAAGATATATTTCATTAATTTGTTTCAATAAATCACTTTTCCCATCTTTCATTTATCTCTTGGAGCAGTTTTTCTTGTTCGTTCTAGTATTTGGAATAAAGAACGAGTGTACAGTTCTGTTGGCTTCATGGGAGCACTTTTTTTGCCTATGTCTGTTTCTGTTCCGTTGGCCTTATTTATATTGAATGTCTACTGAAATTAGAACAGCCACAGATTTAAGAATTTGACACATCAATACCTGCAATGAGAAGAATGAAGGTCTGGCCTTATTCAAGCATTGTTGTCCACATGTAATACTGAAAAGCAATAGAGAGACAAATGTAACTGGAAATGTAGCAAACTTCCCTTAGAAAAGGGGATGCGTAAATGCTTAGGATTTTTACAGGTTATATAAATTCCAGCTGAGCTTGTTCTGCCAAATGTTTGACTGAATTTTAAGATGACTCTTGGTGAGAGACTCCTTGTTCTTGGACAGGCCTTCTTTCATCAAAAAGAGCTCAATAGGATGCACGCGCTTAAGGATTCCCCTAAAGGCATTTTTTTTGAAGTGTTTATCACATGTCTCAAACAGACAGTATATGGACACAGTATTTAGCACCAACTAAAATCTTTGGCAAAAGCCCTGTCAAAAGCAAGAGTTGTTGCTCATATGGATGTAGGAATATATCTGCCTCTTTCTAGTAAGCAAGTTCTAAGTTGATTTTTCTGTTAGGCTAACACTATAACCTGGAGGTCATACTTCTGCCATTTTGAATTCTTGGTTCAGATTCGTGACCCCCGATACCACTGGGTATTGTATGCATGTATTTACCCAATATGTCTTATTCTGATATGCAGAAAGAGTAACGTGCTTTCTGCAACGTAGACTTGTGAACAACAGCTTCATCGCTGTGCGTCTCACTTCAATGAGGCCTTGAGATCGCTATTAGATAACCAGTGACTGATATGAAACCACTGCTATGACTTGAGGGCCTTGATGGTGGAGTGGGTTAGTTATGATATAGTTAAATCTTGTTTTGGGGGTTGGTTCCATGCTTAAACTCTGCATGCTTGGCATACTGCAGTATGACATAATGTTAGATATAGCGGATTCATTACTGATATGGGCTATGGTAAACTAATTTGTTGAATGAATGCTGATTACAAGGAGGTTGTGTATGCAAAGATGAAAGACTTTTAAAAAAGATGCAGTATTTATATATCCATTCCATGCTTCAGTAATTTTAGCTGGGCTGCTGTATTTCAATCATATTGTTCTGGTTATAGGTATATCGAAATACAGAGGCTGCCTGAAATGAGGAGGGCATGAAATCAATCTGTCTGTTCCTTTTTAACAGCTGTGGAAAGAAGGCTTCAAGGCCTGTACAAGTCCTTCCTGAATTGCATTTTTCATGCTTGATATCTGAAGAACAAGCTTGAATTGAAATTTCAATAGATGTAACGAGTTCAAAGAAATTCTTCTTCTTGTAGATGAAGGCTTAAATGTGCTATTTGTGGGTTTTTGCTGGTTTTAATCTTTTGTAAGCTTTTGGATTCTAGCCTTTAGTCTCTTGATGTGGCCACTCTGCTATGGGTATGGATCTTGAAAGGCTCATTTAAGGAGCAGTTACTAAGAGTCACGCTTCTTAAAGTGATGTCTCAATCTTGCACGGTGATACCTTGCCATATTAGGAGGGCCTGGTAGTTGAACTCGGTATCGAGGTCTGCTGGGCTCTACAGGGTCTTCAGACTCTGGTTCGTGGGGGTCAGCCTCTGGGGACTCAGCTGCTGTTCCCCTTCATGGGGCTGAGTGTGGGAGAGGGGCTTACTGAGGCGCAGAGGCAGGTTGCTTTTGTGAGTGTTGCTTAGGATGGAAGAAGCTGTCTAATGAAGAAAAATTCCTCGAGCAGTGCTGTTTCCAGACTTCAGTCTAAAGTCTGGAAAGCTAAATTTTAGGTAAGATCTTAAAAAAAAAAAAAAAAAAAAAAAAAAAAACCTTGAACTGATTGTTGGCTACCTAGGCACAACCAGCTATGAGTGGTGTTGCTCCTGATTTGAATGAGTGTAATTAAAACAGAAGAATGGAAAGCTATTGAAATGAGGTCTAGAATAACTGTTATGTTATCTTTAATCTGGTTAGTAGTGTTGAGGAAATATCTTGGTATATTGGAGAGTTTCAGCATCTCAAGCCTCAAGAAAATAAGACATAGTTTTGGATGCCAAAGAACACAACTCACTAAAAGAATTTTAATAGCTCTTGTGAGATAGGACCTTCCTCTACAAAATCCCTGCTGGTCCTTCCCCGCTATATTGTATTTTAGTCTATTATTTATACTGGCATTCTTGTCAATTTGTCTGATGTAAGAGTAATCATACTGGTTCATAGCTTTCAATTTTGGCAGCTCTTTTTAGGACTGGTATCTTCATTTGTCTTTTCCATCCTTGGGTGCCATCTGCCTTCAGATCTGGAAAAATGGACTAGATCTTTGGCTGTACTAGAACACTAGCTGTTTTGTACGCACTGGAATTGTGCTGAAGTGCAGCAGATGGGGAATTTGTTTGTATCCGTTTTTTATGCTGCCAGAATAATTCTGCTGCTATGCATAAGGTAAGTCAAAGCTGCTTAGACTTCAGCTTAGATGACTGAACATGGAAAAAGCTGTATTTAGTACTTCTCAAAGAATTCAGAAGCTAAATTCAATGCTGAAACTGTTTTCTGTGGCATTAATGCAGTAAGGCAAATGCCAGGAGTTCCAGCATAATGGACCAAGAGCTCAGAGGGACTGGCTAGTGGGATGTTAAAATTGATGCTTCAAGCAGAAGATGGGGAAGGAGAGTGATTACAGGGATTTCTGGCTACTGTGTAGAAGACACAGGTGCTCACTGGCTTCTTTTAGCAGTTTAAATGTTTTACTTACATGGTAAGAATATTTGGCAAACTACGCTGATTTCACCATGTAGATTACTTGCTTCAAGATGAAAAGGAAAGGTGTCTTATTTGTGCAGTCAGGACTGAAGCTGTTCCATATTGCGTTTCAGACTGCACTGAGTGCCTTTTGGCTGCTAGCAAAGAGCATCTTACCTTGGACTCTTTTGCCATGCTTTCACCAGTCTAGGTGGAATTCCTTGGATTCCATGATTGTATTTCCATCATGGGGGACTGCTGGCAGAGGCTGTTGGAGGCCGCTCCCTGTTAGTGGCTGGTACCATGTCGCAGCAAGCTTGGTCTTGGAATCTTCTTCATGTAGGGAAGCAATTTGGCAAGGATGCCCGCCCTTGAGGCTAGAGGGGAGTTCTTGCTGCTTTAATGTCGATGGTCCTGTGATACTCTTGGGGTTTGGTAGCTGCAACTTATTTGACGTTTGTTAGTGTGTGGGTGGAACTTTCACCAATTCCTAGTTGATTGGATTTATTTCTGGTATGTGCCTAGAACATTCTGTACAGTCAAGCCCTCAAAGCTTGGGAGGAGTTAGCTTTAGTGACCCACTGGGTGCCCTTGAACTGTGGAGCAAGGCAAAACACTGTTCCAACCCACAAGCAAAATTAGCCCTCTGGTTGTTTCAACCTTGACAAATGTTTCCTCTTTATTCTTAAGGCCTACCCTTAATTTTCCATTAGCCTGCAGGAGAGAGAGCTCTGCGTAAACATTTTCCAGTGAAACAGATGGGGAGAACAGTAACAAACTTGCCTTTGGCTTTGTGAGGATCAAGCTACTGTGGGCCTCTGTATTAATTCAGTAAAAATGTTGAATTGCTGCCACTAGCTCAGGATACATGAGCAAATACTTGGTGCTGAGTGGGCTGCTTGGCTTGTGGTGGGGCAATGATGTCTCTGAACTTTTGCGTACAGCTTATTTAGCGCTGTGAGACTTAAATGTTCAGCCAGCCTGTTCTAATGCAGTCTGTTCTCAAATCTAGGGCAGAACTTCATTTCCTTCCCTCGCCACGAGGAAGAGCATCTCCAGCGGACTGTGAGCTGGCACCCTTGCCTTCTGATTCTTGGCCAGAACTGTAATGCCAAATGCCAGTTACTCAACATGCTTCTAGGTGAGAAGCTGCTCCCTACCACCAAGATCAGCAGTGAGGAGAATTGTAAGAGGCGACGGATCCGTTTTACACATGGGGCACAAACGCAGATTAGTCTAGCGCTGCCTGAGCAGTATGAACTGGTCCATATGATGGCAGCACACCGAGGGCAGTGGGACACAATACCGGAGGAGGACTTAGAAATTCATGGGGACAGTGAAGATCCCGCTCACCGAATAGCAGAGCTGGAGGTCATGCTGCCATACTCGCTGCTAAAGGTAACTTGGTGTCTGTGTACCTTTGTCACAGTGACCTTATCAAGAGGTAAAATTTATAGTCCCCAATAAAACTAATATTTCTATGCGTTGGAGTTCATACTCTTTCTTTTATTAAATAGAAGCTAAGTAAGTATGGTGATGACTTTAATCGGACATCACTGCCTAAAACTGTGTGTACGCTTTTGTTTACATGTTGACTGTTAGCATATCATTCCTTTGTAATGTTGCCACCTAGCTTAGAAGCCAAACTTACTCCAAAGGCCTCCTAAAATTTGACTCTAGTTTCAGTACATATGTGTGTGTGTGTGTATATATATGCATGTATGCGTGCCTGTGTGTGTATATATATATATATAAAAATCTCTATCCTAAAGAGCTTATTGTCAGAAAGGAGCAGCCTTTTACATTTTTGTGATGTCAGTGGAAGTTGAAGGTGTTGGAAATCAGAAAGTAGAGTCTGTTCTCAGTGCTGTTTCTAGCTTTGCTAGTACTTTGCTTTGCATCCTTTCTTTCACTTACCCAGAAAATGATGTGTTTCTATCCTGGGAGTGTAGCAATTTGGTACTTAAGAAATACCTTTTAAAGGTGAAAGTTGAATTTCGTAGCTTTTTATAGCTTACATTAGCTTTCATTGTGTTTTATGTTTTATGTTAGAGGATTAGTGTTATTGCAGGGTAATACTTTGGACCATTGCGTTTTGTCAGTCACAAATCAGCAATAGATTACAGCAATAGAGTATTTATTCTTAAATATAAATTGTTTAAGTGCAAAGACTGAATTGCTCTTACAGGATTAAGAGTATTAATTGTATCTTGACGTTTTACTGCTCAAATATAATTTTCTCTGGACACGTGAATCTAGACCTGACTGAAAATGGGGACTCGGTTTATCTCCATCAGTTTGAAATACATTTCACAAAGCTGGACTATAGCTAAAGTTAAACCTACCCTAATGAGATCAGCCAGGTTAGTGCTATGTTGTAATGCATTTGTGGCTTCTGGTCTCCACTGAAAGGGAACAGAAGTGATATGTTTGTATAAACTGTGTATGAGGCATCCACTACTTTCCCTAAAGAGCACCAGGTCAGCTGCTGGTACTGGAAAATAAATCTCTCTTCTGGGGATCATCTGTATGTAAAATCCTGCTTTGCTATGTATGAAAGTGTATTTAGCTTTACATTTATTTGGTTACATTTTTAGATGGGTTGGCTTAGCTACACTGCAGTTTACAACCCTCTTTCAGATTTCTCCTATGAGTGACAAAGATCCCTCTGTCTGGCTTTGGTTATATTTAGGACACTTAGATGAGAAAAGCTACTCAGACTAATTTGAAAGGGGCTGGTGAAATAAAAAGCTCTTCCAACGTAAGGAGCGGGAGGGTGAATCACAGTTAGCTGCAGACTGAGTCAAAGGATTCCTTAGATGAATTCAAGGGCTAAAAGGAAGAACAAAATTGATAGGCTGATAGAATTTGTGTTTTAGGAGCTAATTGGGCTAGGAATAGCTTCCTATTAAAGTACTGGAGTCTGGTCTCCTGCTGAGAGATTTGTGATTCTTATTCCTCTAGCTAATGTGTGTTTTCCTGCTCTGTTCAGCCTACACCAAGAAAACAAAGTTAAAAATGCCTGCTACTCATGGACATTACTGCTGTAAGTAGCCGAATATACATCTGGAGCAGTAATGGATGTTGTTTTTTCTGGAGATTAAACCAGAGCTGTAAGTCTGTAGAACCTGTCTGAAAGATTTTTTTTTAACCACCTTGGGAAACAAAGCTAATAGTCTAGTATAATGTTCCATGCTTGATGATAACATGATGTTTGGTGCTATTCCATTTACTTATTTCGAGATCTTAAGGATCCAGCTTCCTCAGAAACCAAATAGCCGCAGGAGCTCGGCACCTCCTTGGGAGAAGGAGAGGGAAAACAAACTGAATTTTACCTCTACCTATTAACTAGAATCCTTATATTCTCATCTGTAGGCTTTTTCCCCCCCTTCCCTCTCTCCCAGTAGCAAAGTGCTTACAGCAGTAGGATATTTCATGATAAACTTACTTTCTAGGTGTGAGGAGGATAAAGAAACTTGGTCACCTTACTAGTGTTTGAAGAGACACCTGCAGGTATATTTGTTTGTATACTTGAACAGTTTTAGGACACTAGAATTTGGTTTGTGTGCTTCTACATCTGATTTGAACATCTGAAATCATATTCGTCCTGTGTAATGGGGACACTTATTACTGATATTCTACCAGTAGAATACCATCAAAGGACCTGTCAGTGACTTTGGGATGGGGAGAATGGTGTGCAGGTTTTCAGGTGTAAACATCTGTTAGCAAAAGACTTAATTGCATGGGCTAGCTTGGGCACCTAGATTACATGCTGCTGTTTTGTGCAAACACTTAATTCTGAATCATGCATCTTGGTGTAGATAATAGTTCCATACTCATTAGACGTTACCCGTTAAAGACAGACTAAGCTATTCATCAGTTAACAGTATACAAATATTAACTGAACTCTACTTTTTCTTTTTCCTTGGGAATAAATTCAGTACAAACGTAGAATGTATTGCCTTTTAATATTGAACTGCAAATAGAACACTCTGAGTTTATACTTGTCTTTAGTCTGATAAATTATTGATGTCCAGGATGGGACCATGCTTGCTTTTCTGTGTTACTTAAGGATGTCTTAATCAAAACTTGTTTCACAGAAAAGGGGGTGAGGAGGAGGGAGCCAAAAATTTCATTTGCATGGGTCGGCTGCTGTGAGAACACAACCTTGTGCTAATAGGTATGTGAACTTAGATTTTTATTAATATAAATGGTCAGGGAAGAACAACTCTCGGGCAAAGCTGTTCTATTCCTTGGGGATTGCTATGCTCAGGAATGCATCTAGGTCATGGGGAAATAATCCATCCAGCTAGACAGATTATTAGATTTACAGTGGAAGTAAGCAGTTGGCTCTTTCAATTTTCCTCTGGATAGTACAACTAAGTGGGAGGAGGTTAACAGAGCTGAAATCTTCCTTTTACATGGGGCTGCATTTATTTTGCTTTGTGCTTCATTCTAGTTTGAATCTCAGGCTGAAGAGTTTCAGCCAGGACTTGTAGGGAAGGAAAATCTTTTCAGCTGCTCTGACAAAGCTGACGAAGTGAATAATAAAAAATAAAAAGTGGTTATATGAGCTATAAGGAGAGAATTGCATTAGTTAGGTTTTATTGTTGGATTCTTTTAAATGTACTGCTGCAGTGATTCAGGTCATGTTAATTAGTAGCCGTCTGTTACAAGCAGCAAGGAATGAGGTAACGTACTTATTGGACTGTAATTTTAAAGTATATCCTGTTTACAACTCGGAAGATGTCCTGATCTCTCTTTTGAGAGTATTTTTAACATATTTGGTTGCAGCATTAATACATAAATACGAATGGCTTTTATGTTGGCTGAGATGCTCTCACTTCCGTGTAGTGTCAGCTTACTTTGGGGTATGCTGAGGTGCTTCTGCCACGTACCAGCATTAAATATCTGAAGTCTTCTTTCTCTGTCCATTTACATTGCAATAACTGAGAGTAGGAGGTGTTGAAAATGCCAGCACCGTAAAATTCTCTTACCATCCATGCGAGATCTGTTCTGTTTCTACTTTTGCTGGCTTAGCGATATATCTTTTACAGGGGAAGATTTCATGGTCAGAAAAGGAAAGTTGCTTCTCAGACTGTTTCATGTGTGTGTACACCTCACAGGCTTTCTTGGGTTGGCCTTCCAGCAAAGGTAAAACAAAATTCCCTGGTGAAGTGGGGTTCAGAATCATTGGATGAAATCAAAGTAAGAACTTTTGTACTCTGGGAAGGATAGCTGTATATGCTGGAGACCAGAGATCTAGTTTAATTTCCTTATCTGGGATTCTCTGCCACAGTCCTCTTGGAAGCAGAGAGAATAAAGTGACAAGACCTCAAAAAACTGAGGAGGGGGAAACAAGGCTCTAAGTGGAATCCAGGAATATATACCTATGTCGTTAATAGGGAGGCTATGAAATTTGCCTTACGTATATAAGAAATGCAGCAACTGTAAGACTTCAGTGACTTACAGACTATTCTCTGAAGGCAGAGTATTCAAATTGGCTTGGAATGAGACTGAGCTGGGCCTTCAGTCATAATCTGCTTGATAGGAGTTTGGGCAAAAATCTAACTAAACTGGGTTAGCTTCTCAGCACCTCAGTTGCCTGTACGAACAATGATTAAACTGCCCCAAGTATCTCAGTGAGATGAGGTTCTCTTGGGATGTAGCGAATGAATGCTTTCCAACCAGTCTGGAGATGAGGAACTATCTGTTGACTTAAGCTTAGCAAAATGACACGCTTCAGTTGTCTCCGAATGCATTCACTGAGACTCTGACTTGTCTTGTTGTAGGTCAAGACCTACCTGATCCTTGATTTTAAGTTTTGTTCTGGGATACGGGATACAGTGGTCATCCTGGAACTGCAAGTCTGAATCCATAGATGTATACACAGTGTGACAGCATGTTGCTCTTCTCGAACTGCCTCATCTGTATTACTGTTTACAATACCTGTGCAACTGTTGAACTGTTCAGCATATTTGAAATGGAAGAACTGTAACTGGTATTTGTATACCTGATGTTCAGATTGCTGAGTGAGAAGCTTTGATACTTTTAAAAGGGCCTTTAGTTAAGGGAAATATGAATGCGGTTACCTGACAGTAATTTCATGCTTACAGCGCTCTCATAAATGTTGAAGTGTTTGTAGGGGTGTGACCTTGTGGGGACCAGCTTAAGAATTTTAGGAACCCAGTGCGAGTCATGGGTATTCCTCACACAGGAAGACTAGATCCCTGACAGTATGGAGCTGTATAGGCAGTGCTTAAACTTCCGCAGGGCGTTTTTTAAAAATGAGAAGTGTTGCTAGTGTTCCTGAGAAAGCCTGATAGGCCTCTGGAAACAGCAGGACCAGTTGCTCGTGCTGCGTTCTGTTCTCTGTTGGTTTTCTGCCCGTCTCCTAGAGACGGCACTGGCTTCCTCCTTTGTTTACAGGCGCTGGTGTGAGTCATCAGCCATGGTGAATATTGCAGAACAGCACATCCCGGGCCACTCAAACTCCTGTACCTCAAACAGGTTTGAGTTCAGTGCTTGGTAGTCCTGTGACAGTAATGACTTCCTGTTATCTCTAAGAGTAGTTGGGAGACTTGGTTAAGTCTTTCATTTGAGTAACTCTGTGGGAGAAAAATGATTTAAGAAATCTTAATTATGGCCCCCTGTTATGAGCAGGGAAGATAGCACTTAAATTCTGCCTTCAGTTCAAAGCCTTCTTTTGATGCTGCTGTCAGCAATAGTGTATGACCCAAGCAGTGAAACTCTGGGTAGTAAGAAAACGGAGTGTTATAAAATACATATTTTTTTAGATTTTGGCTGGATTTGAAGAATATCACAACTAAGCTTATTGTCACAACCATCTGTTCCTCCTTGTCTGTCCTTTGGCTGTGAACCCTTTGGAATACGTTATTGTGCTGCCTTTATCTTGGCAGTAGTGATTATTACTTTTTACTGTTGGAAACTATGCTGAAAATTGACAGCGTGAATATATCCTCAAAGAGCTGAATATCTGGTAAACAGATATGGGAGGCTGAGAGCGTATTTACTAGAAGAGGTGGTTGCAAAATGAGAGTGGGCATAAACTAAAGAATAAGAGCTATTATGTGATAGCGTTTACCTGGGAAACTTGTTCCGAGTTTTGTTCTGAAGTGGGCTAAAACTCGAAAGCTCTTGATGTGGAATAACACTTCTGGAGTCAGTGGGCAGTAATTCATTCTTGGCCGCATCAGCCTTGCGGGTAGGCTACGTACTAAGGCATGATGCCGTCCGTGAGACTCCATAAAAGTTCTGTAGGCTTTGAATGTTTGTTTTGCATTTTATGAATGCATTATAGTGCAATTTTGCATGCATCAGTGTTAAAAAGGACCTGGACAAGACTATCTTTTTACCTCCTTACTTGCTAGGAAGTGGATGTTGTGGTAGCACCATGTCGTGGGTTCCAGTCTGCTGAAGTCACCTTGGGAGAGTATGTGAACCATGTCTTGCCTGTGGTCATCTTTGTCATCAGTGAGGCTGAACTTTCTCCATCAGATGAGAATGAACTGCGCGAAATTAAAGAGAAATTCTCTTTGCCCGTTTTCTTCTTCAAAGTGCCAGAGTTAGGGGCTGAGCTGATCTCTCCCAAAAAAACCGATAATGAAAAGTCCTCCCTTTACTGCCAGCTGATGGACTTGGAGTATCTGAGTACCAACCACTGCAGCTGCGGGGCTCCTGGTCCTGATGCCAATGCCCAAAGCATGCTGGTGGAGCAGTTTGAGAAGCTCCGTCTCCTAAGCACTTTTTCCAGGCAGGTGCTTCAGAAGCATCTTGTGGAAGCAGCCACCAGTTTAAACGAGGTGCACTGCCGCTGCTTGAACATCTTCATCAATCAGGCTTTCGACATGCAGCGAGACCTGCAAATCACCCCCAAGAGGCTGGAGTATACCCGCAAGAAGGAGAATGAGCTCTATGAGTCTCTGATGAACATTGCCAACCGTAAACAAGAGGAGATGAAGGACATGATTGTAGAGACTCTTAATAATATGAAAGAGGAGCTCTTGGAAGATGCAGCTACTATGGAATTCAAAGGTAATTACTAGAAGGAGAGAAATGAGAGGAAAGATTAGGGGCTTTAAAGGAGAGTGAATGAGTAATATTTGCCACCTGCTAAAGAACAATTGAATGCGAGTCTAGAGAGGTGACTCTGCAAGCACATTCAGAACTCATACACAAAGCACTTATTTCTGTAGTATCTGCTGCACTGTCCTTAAATTAGAGGCCTGAATATATGAAGTCTTGAGTTCTTATAGGTGGATTCCCCCCCCCACACACACTTCTCTGCCTCCAGCTTGCTGCACAGTCCCAGGTAGAATGTTTTACTGCTCTGCTTTAATTCCCTATTCTGCAGGGTAAGAAAATAAGTCTCAGCTTTACCTCAGCAAGCGTGTTGAGACTGGGGAGTAAATCTGTCCTAAGGAAAAAACTGAGTTTTAGCAGTGAAGATTTATTTGCACTTTCTTCTCGATTTCTTCATGTCTGAGGGATGTTTGAGAGTCTTGAATATAGAACCTCCTAAAAAATCAAATCATTTTGGGTGGTAGGTAAGACTTTCCTTAAAAAAAACAGCACAATGTATTGTGCTCCTAAAAGCCTGTTTTTGGCATTTGGTGTTTGTTTTTAGGAGAAGTGGGAATTCTCACTGCACCCTCTAGTACTAGAACTTAAGGGAACACAAGCTGGAAAAATAGAGAAGGGCGTGTAAACTGTGCGAAGGGTGAGATGCTATCTAAATCTTGCCTGCAGGAATACGTGGTCTATCGTTAACAGTAAAGTGATTATTTGTAGGTTGATGGTCTACAGCTCTCTGCTTGCTAGGCAGAGGTTTACCCTAACAATCCTTTCTGTTCAAAGGAGTCTTTAAATTGAAATGCAGTTCACTGGACTGACATGGGAATGTTTTTCTCCTTAAAATAAAATTAGAATTTAGGCTATAAATTTAGAGGAAATTATTTCATTGCAAGTTGAGTAGTCTTCTGAGCCATGAGAGGGGCTAAAACTCTAGATAAAATTTAAGTTTGTCCTGACTTATTTCCTCCCAATTTCAAAATGGAATGTTATCTCCTGGGATGAAGAAGAGAGAGGCTGAGTTAGGCTTGCTCTCCTGCAGGAGAGGATCTGCATATTTTTTGCTTCTGCAGATGGGCATGGAAAAGATCTTTCCCTCCTCCTTGAGATGTTTTCTTTGTAATGGCCACTTTAAATATAGTCTTCATAAAGAGCTTGTGTTAAGCGCAGCATATATGTACACCCACTTTTTATACATGTGTGGGTATGTGTGCACACACATGCATGCGCGCACACAAAACCAGCAACAAACATCACTTACAAAGTGTAGCATCTTGTTGGCTCTTAATATTTAGAGATTTTTTGGATATTTTCCTTGAGGAGCAAATGCCATCTTCCAATCACTGGATTTGTTTTAAATAGGCTAGACTGTCTTTGGCCAAAATCCGGAGAAGAGATCTTCAGCTCCTGGCAGTGCTCTAAGACTGTTCAGACTGGTTACTGTGCATGAGCTGTGACTTGCTCCGTGTTTATTTAAAAATGAGGTACTAATTGACCTTTCCAAGGTACCAGGACTAAATTTCAAATAGCCTGCTTGGCTGTTACATTACCTTCTTATAATATTCAACAAGTAGTGCTTAGGGATTACAGCTTCCCAACTTGGAAGAGCTTTCCTGACCTATGCTTCCTTACATGGAAAGACAGTTCTGTGTTCCTGTAACTGCCTTTTAATTTTCAAGACAATAGTTAACTTGTCATCACTGTAGCAATTTAAACCTGTAGTAGCTACTGAATGCTTGTAGAGAGTTTGTCAGGTGTTAGAGCTAGGTATCCTGTAAATCCAAGCACCAGTGAATGGAAGCAAGCATTAGCATATTTTCCACCTTGGTCAGATGTGTAGTTTAGATTCCTTAACCAGGTGTGCGCTCTAAAGAACATATGGAGCTTGGAGTCACTTCAATAGTTTAGTGCTTTCTATCACAGAATACTAAACTTACTTGAGCTCTCTAGGGTTGTATTCTGGACTTCCGATAAAACTGACGTTGTGGAGTTAGACATGTAGACTGGCAAAACTTCAACTTTCTTTGAAGATAGTTAGGATATGGATTCTTCTGTTGCTCAGAGGTTTCTTTGTATGGCTTAGGAATGCTGTTGGACTTGGGTTTTATATCAATTGGTTTGAAAGCAGGCAATGAACTTCTGAAGGAGCAGTATAGCAAAAGAGCCTTTGGAGCAGAAGCTGACCGGTGCTGCGCTGCTGCTGCTTTGCACACCATTGAAAGCAGCTCTCAGTAGCTGATGTTGCAACTGTGATATGTTTTACCAAGTACAAAAGATTCTTCTTTCTTTTCCTCTGTGCAGACATCATAATTCCTGAGAATGGGGAACCTGTTAGTTCCAAGGACATAAAGTGTTGTATTAAGCAAATCCAGGAACTGATTATTTCTCGATTAAACCAAGCAGTTGCCAACAAGTTAATTAGTTCAGTGGACTATCTGCGAGAGAGCTTTGTAGGGACATTGGAGAGATGTCTGAAGAGCCTGGAGGAGTCTTGGGATGTTTCAGTACATACTGCAAGGAGTTTGGAGAAGTCAAAGGATGCTTCTGTACACATCACAAGCAATTATCTCAAACAGGTATGGTGGCTCAAATAGCTGTCTAGACTATTCTTAATTGTCTCTATCCTGTTGCAAGAAGGGCAGGAGGAAACTGAGATGCTCAATGGAATCGGAGGAATGCAACAATTCTGGACTGCCTGTGGGTCTGATGTTGTTGAGGGACATGCTGATATTTGGAAACATTAGTCTTATTCCTGGTTTGTCACTTGAAGGCCTGTTGCTTGTCCTTCCTAAATCTGCATAAAGTAATTGAAGTACAGCCCAGAAACACTGATGAGTATTAAAAAAAAGATGAATTGAATCAGGTGAATCATGGAGTGTTTTGTATGGTGTCCTTTGGTCATTATCAGAGGCAAGATGTGTCTAGCAAATTTCATAGTGACTGGTTTGCAGAGTTCCCATGCTCTCATCTTTCCCCTGCTTTCCAGATACTAAATGCAGCCTATCATGTTGAAGTCACTTTTCACTCCGGCTCAACAGTAACCAGGATGCTATGGGAACAGATCAAACAGGTATGGGCATCTTTATCACATACTTTGAGAACTGGATCTCCTTAAATATTTAGTGTGTATGTGTACAACAATAATGTGATCGACAGCTCTAAAACAGTACTTTAAGGTAACTTTTTGACCCAATCTGCATGAAGATGAATGTGTATTATTACAGCAAAGTGTCTAAGGAGTTCGAGTGAAGTGATTGACCCTTTGCTCTTTTGTACTAGTGCCTTAATTCTGTTCCCTGTTTTGCTAGATCATCCAGCGGATTACATGGGTCAGTCCACCTGCCATCACTAGTGACTGGAAGAGGAAAGTTGCTCAGGATGCTATTGAGAGCCTCAGTGCATCCAAGTTAGCCAAGAGCATTTGCAGCCAATTCCGGACCAGGCTAAACAGTTCCCATGAGGCTTTTGCAGCTTCTCTACGACAGGTGAGTGCTGTAAAGAAGGAAACTGCTTTGTATGTTAACACTCTTTAAGAGTTGTTTTAATAGCAGAGAGGTAAAAGAGCAGTCCATGCAGTTAGTGCTGCTCATCGCAGGTAGAGGTGGAGGAGCTGGTGTGAGTGTCCTAATACAAAGTTCCTTTTCTAAACTATGGATGATTTGAGCAGCAACTGTACTCAGTTATGCGAAGACACTGAAGCCCCTAGCGCTGTGGTTTTAGACCAGGCAGGATGACCATGTATATATGATTTTTTTTTTTTTTTCCCTAGTTAGAAGATGGCCATTCTGGCAGGCTGGAGAAAACGGAAGACCTGTGGCTGAAGGTGCGGAAAGATCACGCTCCTCGGCTAGCACGTCTCTCGCTAGAGAGCAGGTCCCTCCAGGATGTGCTCTTACATGGTGAGCATTGTGCTTGATGTTCTCTGGAGTGTCTACTCCCTCCTGCTTTTGAAGTCAGTGAATGTGAAGGGGAAGGGTGTTTGCTTTGCAGTGTACTACTTCAGTGAGGTTTCCATTTGACACATACTGAGTATCTTGAATTGTGCAGCTGCTGGCCCATGAAAAGGAGCAGGCTGCCAGCCTGATAGTGTGCCTCTCATGTAATAGGAAGGAAGGTGTTTTAATTTCTGACTAAATAGATGTTGTGCCTTACAGGCAAACCAAAGCTGGGCCGTGAGCTGGGCCGAGGACAGTATGGCGTGGTGTATCTGTGTGACAGCTGGGGAGGGCATTTCCCATGTGCACTGAAATCTGTTGTTCCTCCAGATGAGAAACACTGGAATGACCTTGCACTTGAGTTTCACTATATGAGGTGTGTATTGTAAGTGCTCTTCTCGCTCCACGTGGATTTGGTCAATGTCATTGCTGCAAACACATACTATTTGCATTTGCAGCAAATTTTGCTCAGCGTAGTTCTACTCTGCACTCAGTGAGCTGGCCCAACCAAATGCCAAGCTGCCATTTCTAGGAAAGGCAAGACAGCTTGCCAGTGCTGTTGCAGAAATGTAGCAAAGAATGCTAGGTAGGCAAGCCCTTTCCTGTCTTAATCTGATTCCCCTCTTATGTACACTGTTCAAATACTTGCTATTTTGCAGAATAAATTAGAGTTAGTAGCAAGCAGCTCTTCATCCCTTGATATTTGGGTTGATTTGTCTTTCCCAATCTGACTTTATCCTCTCTTGGAATTCACAAAAGAAAATGATGGCTCTACACAGTAGAAAATTTAACTAGTCTTGAATTAAATGGCTGCAGTACAGACAGCTGAAATACTGCAATGTTTCTTTTGCACTGTAACCTTTAATAGGCTTCTTTATTAAATTGAACTTAGTTGGATGGGTTTGTAATATAGTCATATGATCGCCAGAACTGTGGTGTAGAGTTTTTCTACTGTATGGCATGTGGTTAGGACTGCTGTAGGTGTGTCTTAGTATTATTGTACTAATGTGGTAGCTGTTGGGCAGTTTTTCTTTACAAGGTTAGGTCTGGCCTGGGATGGGGGAAAGGGTATAGGAATGACCGTGTGTAATTTTTTTTGTTTGTTTTTTTCTCCTGTGCTGAACTTCCTCTAGGTCTTTACAGACGCATGAGCGGCTAGTACATCTCCATGGTTCTGTAATAGATTATGGCTATGGAGGAGGTTCCAGCATTGCTGTTCTATTGATAATGGAACGGTTGCACAGAGACCTCTATACAGGACTAAAGGTAACAAGAATCTAAACATAGATATACAAGTTTTGTTTCTTTAATGTGCAGATGTAAAATGAAGGTAGGCAACACTGGAGTGTGAGATGTTGTGGTAGTGCTCTCGGCCATGTCCCTGTTCTGAAGGGGAAAAATCCATATGTTGAGTGCAGGTATGTGGTTTTTTTGTATAGGGCAGGTTTGTTTTCTGGAGTGCTTCAGTGCTGTGTATTGCATATAAAGTAGCCCGTTATTGGCACGGGGGTGGGTGTCCCCTGGTTAACTGGTGGGCTGGAACAATTTGGATCACTGCATTGTCAGTGGCTGGTGGCTCTGCTGGGTGGCTTTCCTGTCCACCTATTCCTTACAGCTTTCACCAAACTGTTATGCCTGTTTACTTCAGTGGAAACCCTTTTGAAGTGTGCTGTGGCTACAGCAGCATATTTACTGCTCTTCAGAGGTAGTAAACAGACTACCACTTCTTGATCAAATAAAACTAATGCATTAGGAAAGTAATAAGAGCAGCTCCTGCCAAGTCTCTTCTGTTGCCTGGTAACTTTCCGGTAGGATGGCTTTGCAGGAGCTAAAAGAATTGCTTCATTTTCAGTGTTGTTTGGCAAAGAAGGGTAAAGAAATCCCTTAGATTGTAGGATTCAATCTGTGTTTATTTACTCTTCAGGCTGGGCTAGAATTAGAAACACGATTACAGATTGCCTTGGATGTGGTTGAAGGAATCCGTTATCTTCACAGTCAGGGACTTGTGCACCGGGATATCAAACTCAAAAATGTCTTGGTAAGGAAAACTTTTGTATCTGGCTAGTTCTGAAGTCTAATCAACTCCTTTTAGTGGGAGAGAAATATGATATAAGTGAAGTAATAGCCTTCCTCATATGGAAGCTTTCACCTGTGATGTGTTCTTAGCATTCAGTATTATTTACAACAAATAGCCTTGCAGTGAGGCTTCCTTAGCTCAACTTCAGACAGAAAGCCTGCGGGAAAGGGGGCAGTCAAGTGACTTCTCTTGAAGGTAGAGCGCTTGAGCTACAAGTAGGATTTCCAGTTCTTAGTCCTATTAAACCAAACCACACCCTCTATAGAGAAGACAAGTGAAGACCTGTCTCGTTACTGAGCCAAACTAGCGAAGTCTCCAAGTAGCAGCTAAGTAATCAGAGAAGCTTATTTAAGAACAGATGCCGAACCCTTCAAACATAAACTGTTTTAAACCTTAATATTAAAAAGCAATAATGAAACTGAAAAGTATGATTATCAACTGTCTGTGTATGAATGATTCTACAGCTTGACAAAAAGAATCGAGGCAAAATCACTGACTTGGGGTTCTGTAAACCGGAAGCCATGATGTCTGGCAGTATTGTGGGCACACCCATTCACATGGCTCCTGAGCTCTTTACAGGTATGCTTGTTGATTGAATCCCTTCCTATCTCACTCTGGCTTCAATTTGGAAGGCCATTACTTTGAACTAATATTTCAATTTGCTTATGAAGGGAAAAATAAATTCAGAAGACTGCCTGCTTACAGTGCATATTTATACTGTTTTTCCTGTATTTTAATTCTTGTATCTTTACTCACTTGTAAGAGGAGTGAACTGTGGGACTTGTAAGCTTTGCTGAAATAGTTAAGATTCTTGAGTAATTGGAAAGCTTAAATTATTAGTTATTAGAAAGCTGGAAATACAGGGCCTTCATAGGCAAATATTTCAGAAAGGGTACCCTGTTTTTTACATCAATTCAAAGTGATGAATTTCAGAGCTGTCACTAACATGCAGCCTGTGTTTAATGCTTCTGGCAGGTTCTCTCTCTAAACAGGAAACATTTCTCCTATGCAAGCATCTTACAGTAGTGCTCAGAGGTTCATACAGGATTTAACATAGTCCTTTTGGACTATTTGAGATGGTGTCCCTGCTTTGACAAGGTTGTGATCAAATTGCAGCAAACCTGTTTGTTTAATTTAGAAAACATTATGCAGGTGATTCTCACTACTAACAGTGAATATACTCATGACTAGCATTGGCTTAACCTTTATGCACTTACTGGGCTCACTTATTTCTTGGATTCGGTGGGAGAACTTGCTGTAAACCAGGAATTGCCAAACTTCTTGAAAATGTACCTGGCCTTCTGGACCAGCAGTGGTCCATGAATCTCAATTTGGGAACCATTGATACAAAATGAAGTGTATAAGTCCTCTGAGAATTGAAGTTCTTAACTTTATCCCTCCACCTTTGGCAGTAATTCCTGATATGTTGCTAGGCTCCAGACAAGCCTTGCCTTCTGGCAATGAAGTTGAGGTTTTAGTTTGAGGACTCAGTATGCTGAAATTAGTCTTCAGACTGCTCAGTTTCTAGTGATGCTGAAAATGCTTGCCATACCAATCAAATATATTTATTTGCCACAGGGAAGTACGATAACTCAGTGGATGTTTATGCATTTGGTATTCTGTTCTGGTACATTTGTTCGGGACATGTGAAGTTACCAGAAGCATTTGAGAGATGTGCAAGCAAAGACCACCTGTGGAACAATGTTAGAAGAGGTACATTGAACTCTGGGTGATAGCATGTGCTTGAGTAAAATTTGACAGCAGATAAGGAAATCAGTTTTTATCCTCTTTAGTTGAAAAGTAAAAAACTGTATTTTGTATTTTTCAACTGACTGTCTAAAGATTAGTGTTGATCTAGTTAAACCTGGATATACTCTGAAAGCCTAACTAAAATTGGTAGGGATGAAAAATAGCTTTCACTTAACCAGCTCCTTCTCGGAGTGTTGTAGGAACTGTGCTAGCACAATGCTTAAATCATCTGAAGTTATACAACACTTATGATGTAAAACACATTTTAGAACCAGTCAGCTATGGCATGATCCTCTAAAGAATGCTTAATCCCTTGCAGTTTCTGGAGGCCATAGGGATCTTTACCTTCAAGTGTTTAATATGCAGCATGCTGGGGAAACTGTCCTTGGGCTAGATGTTGAGTAGAAAAGAGTAATAGTTCCTGTTTTATGAAAAATGAAGTTATTTTATGCCTAAGCAGTTTTAGTGCAGTACTGTGTTTTGTGATATTTCAGTCTTTCATGCTGCATCATGGTATCAGAATGCTTTACTATTTTGTCCTAAGTTCCTGTCCATGTAATCTTTCCCCTTCTCATGTGGAAAAGATTAACCCAGATGAGTGAGTCTTGTATTTGGTCAGAAGGCCTACACATTACTTGTTCTCATGTTGAACTTGCTCCCAAAGGCACCATCCTGAGGAATGAGGGTGGGGGTGGGAGGAGGGTAGGGTTTTCAGGGTGTTTGTTTTGTTTTTTAAATAGGGGAGGGTGTTTTTGGTCCCCGAATAGTTGCAAAGAGGAGACATCAGTGAAACTAAATGTATGTTGGCTATCCTCAGTCAGGAGATCATGCAAACTTCCAGACTTCAGCAGTGCGGACTTCTAGTATCTTCCAAAGATGGCTCAGCAGTGTTGCTCTAATATGAGTCTTTATTGATGGCACGAGACCCCAGACAGTCCTTGTTGGTCATTCAGTCTGCACCAAAGTAACAAACATTAGATTAAGTTTCTATCCTGTTTGAGAAGTATTGATGTTAACAAGGTCCCTCTCTGTTTTCCAGGAGTTCGCCCAGAGCGTCTTCCTGTATTTGATGAGGAATGCTGGCAGCTGATGGAAGCTTGCTGGGATGGAGACTCCTCCCAGCGCCCTCTCTTGGGGATCGTTCAACCTATGTTGCAGGGGATCATGGACAGGCTCTGCAAGTCAAGTTCTGAGCACCCAAATAAAGGGTTGGATGACTCTACCTGAAAAGAAAGCACAGAATTTTTAATTGTGGGAGAATTCTGAACCTCTAACTCCGCAGATGGCTTCTTCAGATGTAGCTCTTTGTGGCTAACATGAGTGGGACAGGTAGTAGCAACCCAAAGATTGCTCAGAGGTGAGACCCCAGGGACGTTCCATCTTGAATAGTGGCCAGAGAATCTCCCCTGGTAATCCCCATTGATGCTAGTTACCCTGCTGCAGCTTTTATTACAGAGTTGAGCAAATAAGATAGAAAATCCATGCCCTTGGACTGAAAGGGATTTTTGCCAATCCCACATAAACTCCAATCCAAGAAAAGCATCTTGTGTTTCAGGTAGCATCTGAGTTGCTAGGAGTTGATCCTGACAGTCCTTACTCAGTGGTTGAAACAAAAGCTCTCTTCCCATTAACTGATGGTCCTAGGTGGCCTTCAGGCTATACATAGCCATTCCAGTCACTTATAGATTGGCACCAGTCACAGTGCAGTGGGAAAGAGAAAGCAGGGGCCTTAGGCTAGAAGGGGTTAGAGGATAGGAGTGTCTATCTGTATTAGCTTCTTGCAACACTCAAAATGTTTACATTGACAGGAGCAAAGCTTCCGTGTTTTACCTAAGGGGGGGATTATCCACTGTTCCACTGCAGTGAAAATACCCCAGGTTATAAGCTATTTAGCTCTTATGTACCCTTCACCTCTTACTTCTGTAAACAAGCTCTTTTCTGCTGATTTTGTTCATAATAGCTACTAGAACGTCTGAACAAACCTGACCTATACTACAGTGTTCTTGTAAGATGGCAAGACTGCTCAGAGATTACATACTGTAATACAGAAACATAAAGTCATTACCACTAATGACTATTCATGGGGGAAAGCCAATTCATTTTAATTAAACTTGGTTTTTGAATTAGTTGTAAAGGCAATGACAGTTTTAAATTGTGCTAACTATGGACAGACATTTTTAAAAATAAGGTTTCTTCAGCTTTTTTTTAAAAAGTCACATGCTTGGTGAGAGCATACTTGAGGGAAAACAGGTCATTCATTCTTCAGTAGCTGTGTATTGTGGCTGTGTCTGTTCATCTGATTGCTTCACTCTGGGATCTCTATTTTGACTGCACTGAAAAATAAAAATGAGGGGGAGGTGAATCCTTTGCAAGGAAGGCATAGGGATGGTTGGGATGGTTCTGGTGCCCTTATGAAGAGGGCTACTCCTCAAAATACCTTTGCCCCTTGTCTCTTGCATTTCTCGGGCAAGGTTGATCTTAATGTTAAATACCAATGGGGTGGAGGCTGAAATAGAAAATGCACCTTGATTAATACATGAGGAAGTGCTGAGTTGGCAAGTTTTTCCCCTGGGTTTGCAGTTCCTCCCAGCTGTGGGGGATGGGCAGGAAAGCTAGCATGCTGTGTGCAAAACTGTGTGGGCATGTGGAATTACTGCACCTTGTTGCTGGAATTTATTGGCTGGTACACAGCAAAATTACAACCAAGAGTCTGCCTGTTGACTAGCTTGAACAAAGGAAAGGGATAAATAACCCTGCAGTGTTGTTTAGCTTAAATCTTCCTTTCTTTGTGCAATAAGTTGAATTAATACTTTTTTAAAAAACAAAAAAACCAAAACAGAACAAACACCCTTTTTTAATTTACTTGCACATGTGGGCATTTTTCTGGCTTGTGATGGTATTCTCAGTATGGTTCTATACAGATAATAGCCTCTCCAACTGCTCCAGCTGAAAGTGCAGCAACTGCAAACCCCATGCACAGGAGAACGAATACTTTTCCAAAGTAGAATTGTTAGGCATTTCACTGCCTTGGTGTGTACATTCGTGCCACCAATGATATTAACAGTATTAACTCTGGTTACTGTGTGTGGTGGCTAGTAACCTTATTTAAAACTGGGAGAGTCAAGGTCAGTCTCTTGCAATTAGGAGTTTGTGTAAATAATACATGTATGAATAAAACTTAAATCTCTGTATATGCAATTCCAGAAATGTCTTGTATAGCTTTTCCTGTGTAGCTATTTCCAGACACTTATCTGGTGCCTTTTTAACGTTGTGTGTAGCTACCTTGCTGTCTTGTTTGTTTGGTTTGTCTTTTTGCATGTGCAGCACTGTAGACCTCTAGGTTTCCCCAGCTTAGTACAGCTATATCTGCAATTTTCTTTCTATTAGGTATAAAGTCTTCCTGACTAGACTTGTTTTGAGAGATTTCACACACCCTGTTTATCTTTAAAACTAGTGTTTTTTCCTCATTAGAGCAAGAAAAACAAGGTGAATATATTATAACTTTATTAAAAGATTCCACAAACTGTAACCACAGACATTTGTGTGGAGTTATAATGACAAGATGGTAAAGCAGTACCAAACTCAAATATCTGTTAACCTTGTGCAGTTGGACTGTGTAACTACTCTTCACTGAAGTGAGGCTACCTTTGTAACCTTAATCAACTGAAGATGTTTGTTACAGTACACTTTAATATTAAGGTTTTTAAAAAAGGTACCCGTACTTATGCATTATACAGCTTACCAAGTGTAGGGACTAGCTTTTGTGTATGGACACATCAGTGAGTGCTGCTCCAGTAGTGTCATGCTAATTATCACTGAAACAGAAGAAGCTGAATCACTTACGCAGCAGAGGCTGACTTCTGTGAATGCTGCCAACTAAACCTTCTCCCCTCTCCCTTCCTGTAGAGCCATCCCTTTTGAAAACGCCTGGGGTGGAGTTCAGGCCTACAATGATTTGAAAACAGCTTCCTTTACAAAGCTTCTCAGTCTCTAGATGATGCACAGAAAGCAGAAGATACAGCTGCAAGGTTAAGTTACAGACTGGAAAGGTGCTAGTAAATTACCGTGCAGCTAGGGCTTATCCCTGGCCCAGTTTCAGGCCAGCAACTCCTCTGCTACCCCCTTTCCTTGCCAGCACTACACTTAATGAGACGAACTGGGAGAAAACGCTCTCTACAGTCAGTGGGGATAAGCTGTCAGGATGCCAAAGCGCTCTGGCCTCTGCCATACTGTTGTTGCTCACTGTATCTTGCTGCTGAATGAGAAGTTTATCTGGGCCTGCAGGACGCTTTTAACGGGCCAAACACTGACCTTGATTCAGAGGATTTTATTAGTTACACTAAACAGTTGCCCATCTTCTGCCTGGAAAGCAGACATCAGGGTTACCTGTAAGGGGGCTGGGGGTGGTTGTCGGCTGGGCGGGCTACTTGTAGCTTAAGGAAGTTGCGCAAAGTAACTTTTCTGTAGTAGGTCTTGCTGCCCCTTTTCAGGGGAAAACAGAAGTCTCTCTGCATTAACCCCTCCCAAGGGGCTTGAAGTAGCACTAAGGTTTAGCTTCGTGCGCTTTTTCTAGGGCTGCCGCCCCCCCCC